CTTGAATAAATGTACTCCTTCTTACCCGCTTGATGTATTGAACCACCTCATTGACAAACGATCTGTTGATCTCTAACTTCTCTCTGTGGGAAGAACGTAATCACCAGTCAGACCAGCAGCCGGTTAAAATCCTCAGTATCTGGTGACACCTAGTGGTCGTACTGCATCATTACTAGTCCTGTTTAAGTCCGCACTTACTCTTCTGTCACATTCTTGTCCTTAGATTTGGCTTCGTTGATCTTCTCTTGTCGTTTCTTGTCCATTTTCTTCTTCAGATCCTTCTTTTCTCTGTCGACGAGGACAACAGAGGAGATGTTAGGATTCTGATTTGCTTGTACGACTTTGTGTTCGTGCTTTGTGCTGACTTACTTCTCACAGATGTCTCTGAGCTTTTTGAGCTGAGCACTCTGGCACTCCTCTGCTATACTGGTCAGCTTCTCAACCAGCTGCAGAGATGAAGACACACAAAGAAACACAACAGAGTGAAGTGAGACAGAAAAACATCTGCTTTTATGAATGCTTTGTTTTGATTGAAATTTTCTTCTATTTGAAAAAGCAAGTTATTATAATTTCCACTGCATTGTATTTACAAGAAGACAGAATATCCTTGTGATAATTTTTTATTTTTTAAATCTCTCTTTTGCTATTGCATGAGAACAGTGGAACCATGGAGCTTATTCGTTGGAAATATCCTTAAATCACAGACAAAAAATGAAAGAAAAAAAAAAGATGAAGAAAGTTGGTTGCATTTAATTACAGGTTCAATTAAAATCAGACCCTCTGGGTTTTACATATTTGGTCCATTTAGTCCAGATCTGATATCTTTCTTTAAATTACTTGTAATAAACCTTGTTTATAATCCGTTCTTCTACTTTAAACCATTTTCACATGATAGTTTTTTTATGGTAATTTCTTGTCATTAATATTTCAATTTTCAAACAATACACTGGCAAAAATACACAATTTCACAATTCAAGGAACCATTTACACCAAATACATGTTTATATGTTTACTGACCTGTTTCTAATAAGTTCTACTAACACGGCAATACCAGAAGATATGAAAGTGACTGATTGATTTTGTCAGTCCTGCAAAGTCTCCAACCAGCGTCTGGTTCTGGATTAGCAAAAAAATCTCAAACATTCCAGCCGTGACTTCCTCTTCATATATTCTGTGTTGTGTTGTTTGGATTTTATGTTGCCATTGTACAACTTGGATATCATTTTGCTGCATGTTCCGGGCTTATGTACGCTTTTAATGTTAAAAAATGACTAAATTGAAGCGACATTTGTTGTGTTTCTGACCATTCTGAAACAACAAAGTCTTTCTCCTTCGCTTGGATGAACCTTCCCGACGCCTCAGCTGTGCTCACTGTGCAGACGTACTGGAGCAGAACATTCACTTTTCCACATCACACAGCAGAACACGAGGAGCGCAGGCAGCAGAATGACGTCGAGGTTATTCTACAGGGGGGTGACCTGCAGTTTATAGCAGGGTTCATTAACTCGTTTGGTGGATATAGTTAGTCTGCGCCGAGCTTTTCTCAGCTTTAGGACAGCGGGAGACTGTCAGCACATCGTCCAGGACAAAACAAGTCAGGGCACGTCAGTGAGAGACATGTTTATCCCACTGCTATATACATTATGTACTTGTTTATGTTAGGGAGCGCTGAGTGGTATTATTAACTCTGGGAAAGTGTTTAACCCTCTGAACTCCAAGTCCTCCAACAATAACACTATTTATCTGAACCAGAAACTGTAAAAACACAAAGAATTTGAACTTTCCGACTTTCTGTGTCATGCGTGACACGTGGCTCTGTCTGGAAAACTGACCAGCTCTAAGCCTAAAATCACAAAATGTCATCACAATCACTTTAGTCCACTTTGCGAAACTGCCTAAAACAAGCAGTTTGCATCACATTCTGTAAAAAAATAAATAAATAAATAAAATTCTGCACTACTTAGAGCAACTAAGAAGTCGCGTAACACAAACGCAACGACTTGTCAGGTGAACTGCAGCTATTGTAGGTGAGAGGACGCAAAAAAAAGAGAGATTGAGAGTAAATGAAACCATATTTGAACAGCAAAATAAATCCAGCAAGGCTGAAAAAATGGTTTACACAAGAGCAAGTTGTTCTCATTTGCAAACATGACCTGACGAAGAGGTGCCAGAAGGAACAAATACACATGTAAACTACAGACGCAAATAGACACATAAACATAACACAGAACAAAATTAAACATGTAAGAAGCATGGGGGCATATGCATGTGAGTTAAAAACGATGTGCATGAGGTGTAAGAAAGTGTGTGTGTGTGTATATAAGTAAAGTCCGATGTGATCAGCAGGAGCAACAGTCAACGACAATCTGTTGGATTTAAAGCTTGAAGGTGGTGAGTGGAGTCAGAGTTTGAGAGTGTTTTATAAGGTGTTCCAGTCGTTAGCTGCTGCAAAGGAGATACGGCCAAAAACAGTAGAAGTATTGGGGATGATGAGCTTGATGTATTGACTAGACCTAGTATGATAAGAATTATGGGTAGCTTGAAGAAGAGAGGACGGGTAGGGAGGTGTCTCGGCCAGAATTGATTTGTAAATGAAATGAAACCAGTGGTGAAGCCGCCGAGTGTGAAGGGAAGGTCGCCTCACCAGTTTATAGAGGACGGAGTGGTCAGTGTGGAAGGCTGCATTAGTGGTGAAGCGGAGTGATGAAGAGCGTCCAGATTTTTGGAGCACGGTGCTTGGGGCCATGATCCAGAATTTTGTATCAAGAGAAGCTGATCTAAGTGACTGAAAGAGGGTTCACTGTTGGGACACAGATGGCAGGAGCTTCAGGGTAACTTCTTCTCAAGTGACGAGAATCTCATCTAAGTCCAGGATGTGACGGGATTGTCGGCTGGTACATGGAAAAGAGAGATCGCAGCAGGTGTGCGGTGCATAAACACCTCAGTACAAAGAGTTCAGTGGTGCAAAAACTAGAGGAACCATTCTAAAGAGATATTTTACTGATGGTCTCTTTCAGGAATAGTTTAATAAAAATCATGTGAATTAGATGCTATTGTCTTCTGAGTCACCAGAACTCAACACCTTGGAGATACGTCGGACTGATTCGTTAGTCTGCACGTTCCACCACCATCATCAAAACAAAAAACATCTCCTGGAAGGATGGTGTTTAATCCTCCAGGATAGTTCCAGAGAATCAACGCCAAAAACCTGCTCGCTCAGCTTATGAAGACCGTTTATGTTGCTGTTTCCTTTAATTCGTCACCCATCTGTATAAGTGTCATGTTGCTTACTATTTCTCTATCCAGCCCAGCTTCTCTCACATTAATGTATACGTCTGTGTGCACTTTCTGACAGAGTACCTGCTTTATGTGTTCCCGTTTCTGGTATTTCTCGCTGTAGTACTGCTCCTGTCGAAGAGTGAGGAGCTGCTGCTGCTGCTGCTCCTTCAGCTCGGCCAGTCTCTGGTTACACTCCTGATCCAGCTCGCACAGGTCCTGGTCCAGCGTGGACAGCGAGTGATCGGACCGACTGCAGGAACACACACAAACAAAACGTCCACAAGTTATTGTACTTTGTGCAAAAAGCTAATAAAACCACGTTTATGTTCTGAACTTGTAAAAACGGCAAAAAACTGCATGTGACACCTGCAACAAATTATGAAAAAATCATTCATGCAAATATTCTTAAATTTGTGTTCTTAGAATCCTTGTGTTCTTCTGTTTTGCTTATATAGTGTATACACCTCATCTCTTTAATTTATAGTTACGTTTTCTTACTGTCACTTTGCTGCTGTGACGTTGCAAATTTCCCCTTGTGGGACTAATAAAGGATATTCTTTTCCATAAATCGCCTAAAATTCATAGAAATATTCAATTTAAACCTCCCTATTTTACATTTTATTACCTACTTATTGAGCGTCTCGTGTTCACATTGCATTTTTATTTATATTCTAAATATTCAATCAAGGGCTGCGAGGTGGCTCGATGGTTAGCATCGTTGCCTCATGGCTAGAAGGTCGCTGGTTCGCGTCCCAGCGAGGACACCCGGGATGTTTCTGCGTGGAGTTTGCATGTTCTCCTCGTGCAGCGTGGGTTCTCTCCAGGTTCTTCCTCCCACACAGTCCAAAAACATGCTGAGGTTAATTGGTGATTCTAAATTGTCCGTAGGTGTGAGTGTGCTTAGTTGTCTGTCTCTAAGTGTATTAAGCGGTGTACAGATAATGGATGGATGGATATTCAATCAAACTAATTACGTTGCCTGCATTTTGTTCATTTCTTTTCTCTTTGCTGTAATTCGACTCGATGTCATTGAACAAAAGTGTTGCTTCTCAACAATCTCTCGGGTGTAAAACAGGATTGATTAAAAGAATAAAACGTGGAGTGGCCACAACTCAAAGTACAACCGGACAGTGCAAATAAAAATACTAAAATTTAAGAGCATGAGTTAGACTTTCACATGAAGGCTTTCACGGTCGATGAAACAATACGCAACTTTTCCAGTTACTAGAGTAAAAAGCACTGAGGTTAGTGTTTGAAGTATGTTCAGTAAACTTTTCACGAAGTCACTGGCTTGAAATGTGCCCTCTATCTCACTCAGTTCCCCTCTGAGGTTCACACTGACTGTAATCTCTGCTGGAACTGACTCTTCAGTGTGTGATGGACACTCCTCAGGGCCACAGCAAGTCTCATCCACTCATTTATATTCTGTGCGATACTCACACTGTTTCTTTCCGGGGAGCAGAAAGCAGTACAATATCCAGTGTATATTATATGGTAGATTACTTCATGGTGCATTTTCTGTAGATGGACGACAGATGGAAATGAATCGGGATGTTTCAGGATGATGAGGCGTTCTATCTTCTTTTTTGTGGCATTTTCACCGTCACTTGATTTCTGTTTCAGATGTTAATACATTATTTTACCCACAGTGACTTCCAATTACCCCCGAGAGAAGCCGCTTGTCAAAAAACACACACACAGATTTTAGAGTGCGCAGGTGTAGGAGTGACAAAAATACGCTGAAGAGAACAAAGTTTTCTTTGCAGCCGAGGGAAAGTGAGAACCATTAGTCGGAAAGCAACACGTCTTTCTGTTTGATCCACGGAGCGAATGTTTGCGCTTTGGTCTTCTAACGGCTTTTAAAGAGGCGCTTTCTGTTTGATTCTGAATGACAGACGCCAGAACCTGATCTTTTCTTGCATCGTGTGGCTGCTGGAAATATCTTAATGCGACACTGTGTCTATATTAGTTGTGGGAACTGAGCCAGTGAGCGAACTTTTCTTGCTTCTTCTGGATCCCCTCTGAAGACAGAAGGAGGGAAGGCTTCAAAAAGACAGACAGCAAACGAAAGTAGGCCGGTTGGAGCGGCAGAGGCGGCGGGCTACCTACCTTTTCTTACCATCTCGTTTGTGGCTCTTCTGCAGGGCCGAGCGCCGCCGCTGGTGCTGGCTCTGCAGCTCGGACGCTCGAGCCGTGTGCTCCTTGATCAGCTCGCTGGTCTTGCGGTGGTGCTTCCGAACCAGCTCCTTCATCTCCTTGTACTGCTTCCTCTGCTCCCGGACGAAACCCTTCTGCTGCTTCAGCTCCTCCAACGTCTGAGCCTCCAGTTCTGAGGAGAAAGGACAGAAGGCCGCGGGAAGAAGACGACACAGTGAGCAAAAGAAAGTGTCGAGGTTTCTGATAAAACTTGCATCTGCTGTTTAAGGAAGTTCTCTTTTATCTGGCAAATCTAACGCAAGGTTCCTGCACTTATATTTCACAAATTTCAGACCATCTGAGCACAAACAACTGGATGTTTTCTATGTAAATAAAGGATTAGCATGTGTTGTATTCTGTTCCCAAATAATGGCTAAAACAAACTAATAATTACCAAACCTGGACAAATTCAATGCACAACTTTTTATTTAAACACCAACATCTGAGCAAAGATATCTGCTGCTAACTATACTTATTATTTTCTCTAAACATTTTGAATAAATACACCTCCATCCATCTTCCTTTTCCCAGCAGCTGAGTTGTTCCCAGGCCAGATGACATATGTGATCCCTTTAGAGGGTTCTACGTTTATCCAGAGTCTCCTCCCAGTTAGATTTTTCCAAATCAAGGCACCCAGGAGTCTTTCTAATTCGATGCCTGCTGCACCACCTCCGCTGGCTTCTTTCAATGTAAAGAACTTCTACTTCCAACCCTGAATCTCAGGCTGAGCACAGACAGCTTGCAGAGAGAATTTGTTTCTGCTGCTTGTATCTATGATCTCACTGTTTAATCCAGAGCGCAGATCGACTGATAAATCAAGAGCTTCTGCTTCCTCTTCACCAGGATGGTCTGCCACAACAAGTTGCACCTGTTATATTGCTGTTGCCCCTGAGTTGTCTTTGTCTATTTTAAGGGTATGAACTGAAAATGAGGCGAAAAAAACCTGGAAATGACTAAAGTCCATATTTTTCCAAAATGAATACGTACAAAAAAATTTAACCCCCCCAAAACAAACTCTCTCTCTCTCTAAATATATGTTATCCTTATTATAAAGAAGATGCAGAATAAAATAAATAAAAATGCAGTCTGAATATAATCGTACCGGTGAGGACGCTCTGAATGATGTCTTCAGTCTTCACCGATGGTTTCAATGAGCCTGTTGCACAAAAACAAGTTCACAAGTTCTCAGTTAGTTCTGAAACGAGACTAAAATGTTTTTTGCAATATTAAAAAAATTAATAAAAATAAGATAATTCATTTAATACAATTCTAATGCAATTCTAATGTTTAAATCAAGTCACTGTTATGTAAGGGGATATAATGCAGGTGAGCAGGCAAAAAAAAAAAGACATCCCAATTAAACTTCCCCAATTTATCACTTACATCAAGAATGTTATTTTTTGTTATTCCAAGTATTCTGAAAGCTTATGTTTAGGTATACGAGTGGTGTAGAAGCTCATTAAATATGCAACATGTGCAAAAAGTCCTTCAGACAAAGTCAAAATAAACATTTTTATTCATCTGAACATGTTCTGGAAGCAAAATTGCACAAAATCTCAAATTCATCAGTGCATTGAAAAGCTTATTTTAAAAAATGTTTATATGTATTTTATAACTGTTTAACTATTTTTTAAATTAATATATTACGATGGGTAGAATGACATGCAGTGTGAGAGAATGTATAAAGTCTATAATGTTTAAATATATGCAAATAGAACGACTTGCATATCGAAAATATCAACAAAATAGAAAGTATATAAACTTGTTGAACAGTCACAGAAATACAGCGCAGCAGGTTTAGTTCTTATTCCTTAAACACAATGACAACAGCTATTTACAAGAACCTGAGGTGAAGATATTATAGTTTTAAATATTATACAATATGACAAGTCTAACAGTGTCAGTGTTTTATCAAATGACGTCAAGTTTTGAAGGTAATTAGAAACAGTTTTCAGTGCATCTACAGTGCAGCTCATGTGAATGTGTGCTTTGAGCTGCAGGCTGTGAAGCGTTCCAGTACCTGCAGACTGAGGCTGGTGTCCGACCAGGGAAGGAGGTTTCGGGGCAATAATGGGTGTGTGGCTCAGTCCGTTCTCTGAAGGCAGCGCTACCCTCTGGTCCACCTTAGATTCTGAGGGGGCATCACTTCCTGCCTCCACCTGTTGGTTCAACATTTACATCAGTCTGGGCATCTTTCACATCAGACACTTCCTGCTCAAAAGTTTCCAAAAAGTTTTCCCCTTGCGGAGGTTTCGTCCGTCTCCTCGCTCACTAGTTGTACCTGAGTGCTGCAGGTCAGTCTGTAGACGTAGCTCTGGTAACCCAGTCTCAGCATGACTTCCTGTGCAGATTCTTAATTTCCCGTTGGCTCGCCTGAATCTCGGACTACACGCTCTTATCTCTGAAAGGTTAATACGATTTTCAATAATCTCTGTTCTATTCATGCCGGCCTGATCTTTTCCTTTTTTTTCCCTCTCTCCCTGCTCCCTCCACATTTATCTCCCATCGCCGCCTCTTTTGGTTGTTGTTGCCATGGTCGCAGGATGAAGCAGCCTCGGTCTCGTGGGTAATCATATCAGCTGGCGAAACAGATGAAAGAAGCCCCTGAGGAGCAATCCTTTTCCTTCCAGTCCCCTTCACTAACAACCCCAGATAACCCTAAACTTATCCTCCCTTCAATCTTAGAAATCATCACATCTCTCCTCAGCTGCACCTTCATTAATCCTCGGCTGCTTGTCAGGTTCATTTAAACCGACCGAAACTGTTCGTCAAGATCGCCGGCCTTCTTACAAGCGAACAGTTTCGGTAAAATCCTTTCCTCCTGCTTTTGTTGTCGCGCTGATGGCCCATTAGTGTGACACGCTAATAATGAAATCCTTCCTCAGATGGAACAAAAAAAGGTCACATCCTCTAAAGCAGCCGCGACTTGTTAAAATTCTCAGAGCTGTTTGGCATTTCGGTTCAAACTGAGGCCTGTCTTAAAGCTAAAGGTCGCTGCCAGCTCCGGTTAAAAAACACACAATTATTTCCTACAGTGAATCGGCGAGTAACAGGAGCTTTTAGTAGAAGAAATAGGTCAGAGGTTGTTAGAGGGATGCAAAAACTTTTCAGATGTTTTTAACTGTTACTCTTCAATTTATTGTCATTTTACAGATTTTCCCCGATTTTGCTAAATTACATATAATAACTATATTAAACTTCATATTAACCCTAAAAAATAGGCCAAAACTGTAAATAATGTCCACATAAAAAATAAAATATGGATTTTTACAAATAGTAATTTGTCTATTTACAATGTTTGACTGTAGAATTTCACTTTTTTTTTTTTTTTACTGTATTATATTTATTGAATTTCCCTTCTGGGATAAATAAAGTATTTTTCATTTCATTTCATTTATTATTTTAGATATTTGCTGTTAATTTAAAGAAAAACTGTGCATAGTAAAGATTGAAAAAATACTAAACATTTTGAAACTATTATTTTGCCTGTTTTTTTTTTAATTTGTTTTTTTAAATCACTGGGAAAAAAAAGGATTAAATTCCACGTTAACCCTTGAAAAACAAACAACAAAAATGCGTCAAAACTGTGTAATAATGTCAGAAATATCTAAAAAAATTCACAAAGAGTGCACTGCTCTCTGCAGCTTCTCATTCTTCTGACTGTATGTTTTGATTCTGAAGCAGATTGTCGCTCACAATGAACAAATCAATAAACTGATCAGCGGCAGAGGTCACAAAGTGTTAAATACTTAAGTAAGAGAGACAAACAAACACTCTCTCACCTCTTTGTCACCCTCCTCCTCTCCTCCCTCCTCCAGAGTGAGAGCAGCCAGCTGATTGGCTCGCACCTCCATCAGGTTGACGTAGCGGATGGGATTGGACAAGGCTTCGATGACATCTGAGGGACACGAACGGTTTCTGTAACACTCATCGTGAAATATGTTTTTTTGTTGCTATCAACACGTTCACCTGACTCACCCGCAAACGTGTCCGGGACATAATCCTTCACTTCAACGTACACAAACAGAGCCGGTAGCGTCAGGGACTGGTTCTTCTCATTCCTCAGGTGGATGTAGTGGTAACCTGCAGGGTTCCAGGCCCAGTTAGGCTCAAATTCACAGAAAATATTCTAATAGTTGAACACGATTCAGATAAACTTTACAGGGATTTCAATGGTTTTGGCCTGTCTAAACCTTTGTTGTATTAATTAATGTTTTCAGATCTTCTAATGCTGCATTACAGCCGTAAAAGCCAACACATATTTGGTTTTACGGGTCTGCATCACATCTATGTGCCTTTATTGACAGAAAACTGCTTTTTCTTGACATTTCTCGAAATTAAACAAGCAGAAATATCTAATATGCTTTGTTATGCTCAAGTAAATGAAGCCACAGTTTATCAAAAATAGCTAAAAATGCTTTTATTCTCAATTATTATCATTTTTGTGGTTGTGATTTACCTTGTGTGTGGCCTAAAACCTCTTTGGAGGGCCACAAAATATTCCTCTATGCAGGTAAAACCTTGCTTTATGTATTTCAGGTATTTTTTTCTTACAAGAGTTCGTCACTTGTGAGCTAACGTTTGAAATGACGGCAAACAATGCAAGTCTCTGGTACCTGGACGGATGGCTGAAACAGGAATGATGCGGTGGCCGATAAACTTCCCTCCTTCTTCAAACACCGCTATCCTCAGCGAAGCAAGCGTAGGCAGGACAACCTGGAGATAACCATGGAAACAGGTGAGAAATGCACTTATCATGACGTGTCTTTCACTTTTCTGTACATAATTAGAAACAGGCTGTCAAGGCTAATGATGAGGCGGTTTAGTGTATATGCTTATAGATTAACAAACATAAAACTGCATGTGCATTGCCAGGAAAATGTGGGTTTACTTAACTAAACTAAACTGAAACCTTGAATTCCTTATTGAGACTGGCGCAATTTTGTTTTGAGGCGTCATGACTTATGGACATTAGAACTACATGTCTCTACTGAAAGTTAATAAAAATTGGTTACTTTCTTGAAAACAATGGCCTCCTCCTCCCAGACAGGGTTGATGGCGTTGCCCTGAGACGTCTTGGTCTTGAACGCTTTCCTCTTGGTGTCCACCGGCAACCCGAACATGTCGATCTCCACGTACGTGCCGACTTTCTTATCTGACAGGAACTGGCCTGAGATGATCTGGAAGGAAGGAGCGTGAAAGACACAGAAAAACATGATCAAATACACATTAAGTGAGCCGCACGGACACGTAAAGTCCGACACAAACAGACACACACCTTCACAGACAGTGTGTTGGCTACGATCCCGTCGACCGTGCTCTCGGTGAAAGGATCAAAGTGTTTGTCCGGTCGTCTCATGAACTCCGGTTTCAGCCTGAAGCCACACTTCCCGTTGTACTCGTACATGCCCAGGTTCAGCTGCATGGACAGGTCTGTGGAGGGACGACGGAGTGATGAAAATGTCTTCATGTGGCGCAAAAATCAAACATACAAATGAACAAAACCTTCTGCAGCCCTTCCTCACCGATAGTCTGGAAGTTGAGAGCCACCAGCTGACAGCCTGCGTTCCAGAAGAGCTGAGGGTTGTAGTTGGACGAATCCACTCGAGTGCCTTTAGGGTAAATCCTGCTCAGCTGCAGCTTGTTGTACCTGAACAGAGCTGGTTAAGGGCAAAGCTGCACGATGTGGGACAGTCCCATATGGTGAAAACACATTTTTATTGCATTTTGTGGCTGTAAAAAAAACTTAAAGGTTTAAAGTAAAAGCTGTAAAGATATGAAAACATTTAAGTTAAGTCCCGTGGAACTAGACATCCTCCCAGTTCTACAAGTCAGTCGGATTCTGACCCAGGTGCTTCCTCACACCCGACTAACCAATAATCTTCCAGCTCAAACGCTGTATAATCCTGCCCCCTCACTGGTTCCAGGTGAACCATTCAGAATAGACAGCTGCCTCACAGTCCACCAGATTGATATATTTTCCAGAGCTGCTTCTGTCAAAACCAAAACATCTGAGCCATGTGCAAATCTCAACAAATGTTTTGCTGTTGGCTGCAAGAGTGAACACAAGAGTCTTCGTGCACTCCCAGCATCTGAAGAACTGAAGATCCAGTGGATTGCTTTAGTTTTTGATGGCAATTGCACCACAAACACTAGAAAAATTCCCATTTTTAGTACATTGTGCAGCTAATGTGGCTATTGCTAAAACTAGCTTAAACCATATTAGCTTTGATCATGTGTCCATAGGTCAGAGCAGTTTGAAAACCATAAATAAGTAATGTGTGGGTTATTGTGTTTACCAAAACTTAGACGGTGTTTACGTCTTTCAGCTTCTCTCCTGCTCTCTGTGCTCACATATCCTGCGTTTTATTACAGCCGAATCCCCAATAAAGCTGTTCTCATTTACATATTTTTCTGCTTTGGCTGTCCGACAACGAAACGAGTCTGAAATACTGAGTGAACACACAGCCCATGAAGGCAACACGTTAACCAGCAGTCACTTTAGAAACATTTCCAAAATGCTGCTCTCTGCACAGCGAAACTACAGCAATGTCTGACAAATTCACCGAACACACGAGTTAACAACAACGGCCGTGCTGTGACGATATTTCCATATCAAATGATCGTTCAGAGAGAAAGCTGGAAACAACTGGAAGTCCCATTGTCTCCATGTCAGCAGTTGTGCAGTGAACAGAGAGTTTTCTTCCTGAAGGCAGCGGACCAACAGCGGCACACTAGTTTTCAGATTGAACAAGCCAGTTTAGAACAAGGCTAAAATCTGTGTAAATGAACCATCCTTGCAGTGTTTTGAGCCGAAAAACTAAAAGGCACACGCAAGACGTTCATCAACTTGCTGAAAATGTACACAATATGGGACTTTTAACATTGTCTTTCTCATGCATTGTTTTATTGTTTGGCTTTGTCATTATTTTATTAGTATGCTTATTCGCAGTAACAACTGTAATGGTTTAAAAGGTCAATTTAAGGTGTTTACAGTCCAGTAACCTTGTGTATTCTCAGCTGACTAACTGGTATATTCCTCTACACTGAAAATGTTTACTTGTTGTGATTTATGAACCCCCGATAACACTTGCTGCTATCTGACTGATAACACTACTTCGTATTCATCTTGTTACACTCAATACATACGACTGGCAACACCTTTTAATCTATTGTTGTGCACTCAAAGTCAAATTCCTTGAATGTAAAAACCTACTTGGCAATAAATCCTTTCTGATTAAAGCTCACTCAGGCACTGGGGGCAGCTTGGGGGTCCTTTGGGTATGATGTAGGGGGGCGTATGTGTCATTCAGTGGACCCTGACAGCTTCTACGGAGGTGGTCGGGCTGAAACCATGACTCACGTGGGGGTGACACAGAAACTGATATCTCGTTAATTTTTTTTTTTCTTCTGCATGGAAAATTGCTGGAGGTCAAATAGTCATGTTTTTTAGGTCACTGACTTCTATCTATCTGCTTGATATGCAGAAGTACACCACGGGGATTGATGTGTAACAAGCTTTTCCATGTAACCCTCAATGGATGTTGAACAGTTGCTCCAACTTCAATTACGATATAATTCCAGTTGCATGAGTACATATCTGATATGTGCGTGTTTCTGTATTTTCAGATGAGAAAATGTGTAAAAGTAGCGACACGTATTAGTATAAAACCAGTATGCAAGTGTAATAGACTATTGCTAATACAAATATGACATTCACACTGTGCATATGATGTGAAAAAATGCTTCACCTAGAAATTTGCTTCAAGATTAAAGATTTGTCACATGCTCAAACAGTAAGCAAAACAAGACAAGTCATAAATATTCCTAAGGAAAAATTGTCTTAAATGATGAGTAGCAACGCTGTGCAAGATTTGCAGTCATCTGTTTGTGTGTATGTTATATTTACACATGTTTATGCTTCCATACGTACATCTAATGATAGGGGAGTGGTGAATACAATGCTGTGTTAAGTTGATATTGGTGTCAGTATGTTTGGAGTGAAAGCAGACACTTTCTGTTTCATTTAAGTTCCTGAGTGAATGTCTGCCGCTTTAGTCACTGATTAGACTCCAACAGCCAGCAGCCACATTATGCTAATGTGGTTCTGTTTCTCTACTCTGAGATGTAAAGAAAATAAATTATTTAAAACGTATGCAGGCCTGGAAGAGTGCAACAACCATAAAACACAACTTGGGTTTTTAAAACTTGCGTTGGTGCTTGAAAATAGGATTTACTGACTTTAAATCACACGCAGTATTCTGTATATTATTATTATTATATTACTTCAGGTGAACAAGATGAGCCACTGAGGTGATTAAAAACAGATCAAGAAAAGCAAAATCAGCCTCAATCTACTGTAAGTTATTATCTTAATGGGTAAAATGAGACTCCAGGAGTAGAAACTGGACATGCATAAACCTAAATGAGATTCAGGCCCTCAGAGATGGGTTTAGCATTTTAAAGCACTGCTCCAGTGAAATCACAAGGATACTCCACAAACTCTACGGGAGATTTGGTCAGCTGCTCCAAAGCTTTGGTCTCTACGAAGGACGACATCTGGTAGCTGCGATTGATCTCTGTGGAAAGAGAAAACGATTAACTGATCAGAGCAGGCTCATGGTTATTAGACAGGGATCTTCTTCTTCTTGATGTATAGGTAAACACTTTTTCACCTGTTTGTCACAGTTACTCACTATTTAAAGTCACATTCTGTCTTTAGGTATCAATGAATACAGCAATTTTTAAATACATGTCATTTATTTTGTATAATTAATATTTTAACCTTAACATTCACCCTTTTTATGGAATTGTGTTAACTGGCAAATAAAAAACCTTCAAATGGAAGAACTTTAAGGCCATGATGTATGCATGAGACATCATTTAAAGGCCATCTACTGTTTTTAAAGATGTTTAGCAGCAGCTAAAACTCGCACAAAAACCTGCTGATGGGCATCAGGTTGCCGGCGACACATAATTCAAAGCGGCTTAGCATTACACATGTTGTTGTTGGATCTATTTTTCCTGTTATCTTTTCATCTTGGACCGTTATTCTTCTTGACATCGAGACGAGTTGCTCTAAAATTTGGTTGTACAGCTGTGCAATGACAATAAAGGCACTGTTCTGGTTTATACAGATATAAATCTTTAAACTTCCGTCAACATGGACGTGCTTTTTTTGATTTGGCTAAATTTTCCCATAATTAAACTGCTCAGTTCATTTTACGGAAAGTCCCTGGTCATGGATTTTATACAGATGTGGTTGAAGACAAAGGAACTCTTCTTACATCTATTTCAAGAAACAAGTGCGTAGGAGAGGGACGAGCCGGTCCAGAAGTCTCCAACAGACTCCTGCACACTTTCTAACATGCAAAACTACACTCAGGACATTTTATCAAGTTATTCAGTGAGCAGGAGTCAGTCGGAAACTTTTGGGAAAACAGATGTGGTTGGTGATTTGCATAGTTTCGGCATAAAACATGTTGATAATTATTTATATGAGTTATTATGGACAAGGACAAAAAAACGTTTTCAGAAACTAGAACACATCTTTTTAATGAAGTCACATTTCTACTTATGTTTACACTTTGAGGACATATTTTTCTTCTCATGTTTATATTTTATGTTTATATTTTCTACTTATGTTTATATATGTATGTATATATGTTGTACTGTTTATATTTCTGACTTTAAATGGGAACTACTGTAACATAAGCAGCTTCCCCGCTGGGATCAATAAAGTATTTCTGACTCATATATGCATTTAGGCTTTGCAATTTTACTGCTACAAGCTTTTCCGTTTGAGTGCACCACACTGGGCTGTAACGAACTAATTTAATTGTCGATTAATGTGTCGATTTTTTTTTCTTCTATTAATCGATTAGTTGTTGTAAATGGTTAAAATGTCGATCAGTGTTTCAACAAATGTCGTGTTTTGTTCGCAAAGAAAAGACACTAATTACACTGTCATGGAAAAGAAAAAAAACCTCACAAAAGACATAAATTTAAGCAGCTGAATTTAGAGAAATTTGCTGCTTTTCTTTAATAACTACTCTTAAAAATTGGCAAAATAATACCGTCATCACAGTTCTAAGTGCCAAATAACTGCAATTTAATTCCATAAAAAGGAGTGGCTGTTTAAGTGGAAGTTAGCAATTTAAAGCTTTTAGATGTTCTTACTTTTGGAAGCCTCGAAGCTGTTAAACTTGACAGGTTGGATGTAGATGACCAGGTTGGACATTTCCTCTGTGGCGAACGCTTCACTGCCCGCTGTGCCCTACACATGGAAACACACAAACAATAAGCATCTTAACATCAGTGATTTGACAAAATGTCAGGATTCCTGAGCTCCACAGGCCTGAAATAACCTCAAAAGTCTTGTTTCGGAGACTTAAAAGTAGAAGTTGTCATCAGATATTACTGACAAATGTTACAGAGATGTCTACAGATACACACCTCATCCATTGAGCCCTTTTTACAGTCATCATCGTCGTCATCTTCATCCTCACTCTCAGCCTCCACCTCACCTGGAACACAGATAAACACAACAGATAAAGCTAAGCGAACCAAAGTTTAACGCGCGTAGATTTAATTGGCATTTCCGCAAACTCAATGCGAATGTCAGGGCGGCCGGTTTGGAGGCCGATAGCCTTTAAACAGTCCTTATCTGGGATCGTTTAAAGCAGCGGCACAAACAAACCTTGAACCGACAGCCGGGTCCCTTGCTCATGGAGCTGCTGGTCAGAGGAAATTAATTTTAATATTGTTTTGGCGGAGCTGACCCAGCCTCTGCACCCACATAATGAGCGATCCGCTAAAGATTTCCCACCGAGCGCGAGGTCACACTGACAGAGGAAATTAATTTTAACAGTGTAATGGTCGAACTGACCTATAGCTTCTGCGGCGGCCTAATGAGGGCTCTGCTAAAGATTCCAGGCTGCGGTCATGTAGCATGCGTGACTCACCGATGGACTTTCTGCCCTGCGGTCTCAGGCTGAGCTCGGCTCCCTCGGCGGGCTGAGAGGAATCCGCCATCTCCTCTTTGGTCGAACCTGCGAGGAGGAAAAAACTGTTCAATATGCTGCTTTTGTCTGCCACGTTCACCGGTTGATTCACTCGTTAAAATCTCCCTCCGGTTTAGTCGATAGGCTCTCACCTGATTAAAATCTCATTGGCTGGACAACCACTGGGGTTATTCAATGATTAGAAAACTTCCACAGCCTTCCAGGATTAATCCATCACTTTCGGCAGCCAGAAGAACCCTTGAACACCGTGTTGTTGTGTTTTTTTTTTTCAATTTTTAACTTACACACCATCTAAGAATGTTTTCTTCGAGTTGTTGTGTTAAAGAAGTTGTCACTGTGGCTGCATTTTGTTAAAAGTTGAGTTTAAACTATCACAGCTCGACAACCAATCTGAAAGCATCTGAAAACAGCAGCAGCTAACTCATGCATTACATTCCTCAATAGTTCTTGTGCTGGATCACCAGTTAATAAAGTTCTGTTTTCAGAAATTATATGAACATGTGTTTGCTCTGAGTCTGTTCTTATCATTTCAATATAATATAACCAGCTTCACACGACATAATGTGCTGCAAATACTAGCTTGTTGTGTTGTCTTAGTAGGTAGACTGCATTGTAGTCAATTTAGTCTTTCCAATAATGTGCAGATTTATTTCCCGTGCGACCAATCGATTGGTCAGTAAGTCAATCAAGACTTTCTGTTTGGTCCCAAACATCAGAAAGTCTGAAAGGAAAACAAAAGTCCACTATTACCGTGTCTATGTGGAACAAAGCTTCAAATTTCTGTCAGAAAATGGCACAAACTCCTAACTCAGTCTGCCACTTGCATATAAACACTCCTGACATCTCATTCGACGGCTGTGGATCAGCTGGTGGAGGAGGTTTGCCCACTAATTATAATTCTGGCAGTTCGATCACCAGCCTCTCTGCAAGCGTCCTCGGGGAAGGCTCTGAACCAGAAGTTACTCCCGATGTGGATGGAAGACAGTTGCTCTCTTGCATGGCAACTTCATTGGTGAGTGAATGAAGAGGGAATATTGCAAAGTGCTTTCAGAATCAGAATCAGAACGCTTTAATGTCTTTGTACCAAACAGCATAACGCGATCTGCAACACCTAAAGAAAACCCACGATACATAAATACACTCTCTTGTCACACACCTGCAGCCACATTAAATAAATAGTTAGTTTAAAAACATAATAAGAGAACTCAGTAGGAAATGAATGAAATATTGCACATAATGTCCACAGAACAACTACTATGATAGATATCATAGGTAGTGGTCAGACCTGAGAGACTGACTGGCTTTGAGTGCCACTAAAGTAGAAAAGCACACATTTTTCACTTTAATTCTAGTTTTGGAACTCACATGAATCTACTTCAATCTTCTTGTAATCATTTTAGTAAGAAACAACCAGGTTTAAATGTCTTAATATCCAACTAACACAAGCTTTTATGTTTTTTTGTAGCAGGGCTGCGATGAAAAGTCAACTGTGACTGTTTTAGTTCATAGAGAGAGTGCTATTTTCACCGATGGGATTTTACTTTCTTTTGCATCAGAACTGAACTCTTAGTTTTCGTTTCCACATCACTGTTTGCTGCCTTCCCTTCCCCAGATCGCCTATTGTCTCATTATGTGGTAACGTAGGTTAAAAATGTCAACTTCCATGTGCACATCAGCCAGAAGGGAACCTTAACTTTGCCTGTGCTGCACGTTTTCTTACACCAGGGGGCAGTGTGTGTCCTAGCACAACACTGAGGCTGGGAGCTCAGAAATCCAAGTAAAGGTGATGGATTGCAAAGTCTATTGTAAGAGAACGATACACCGAACAAACAAAACACAAATAAAGGCAAGAAAATACTGAAGCATGCGTGCACGGTCACGCTAAAGCACACACGCAGAGCGCAGCCAAGTCTGCTGCAGCTACGAATGAATGAATGGATGAAAGTCAAAGTCGGGGAACAGCTGTGAAAATATAAAATCCCATAAATTCAGATAAGACAGTTACATGCAGCTGCATGCACACGCTGAAGGGTAGAGCTGGCCAGCGTTTAAGGTGCCCCAGTGACAAGCAGCCAGACGGAGAGAGTATGCAACAGCCAATAATACCCCGAGCTGATGGAGAGGGCCATGAAAATGATGAATGATAAACAATAGCAGTGATTCGCACCAGTGATTCAGTTTCTGGGCGGCGCGGAGGTCTCGGCCCACACTGCAGACCGACCCAGACGGTTAGGCTGCATTTTTACGTCCGACACATCATAACTCAGTGGCCCCCGGTGCGATTTGACGGCTTTGTTAGCCGAAACGTGGGCGGCATGTTGGGAGAGGAGGGGGGGAGTCGTACCTGCGCTCGGGGAGGACGGCTCGCACACGCTGGAGGAGTCGCTGTAGGTGTTGGAAACCTGCTCACTGAGCTTTTTCTTGGTGCTTCCGTCCGTCTTGTGGTGCTTCTTTTTGTTCTTCACCAGGATCTTCCCCATCAGCTCCATCGGGCTGGGCAGCGGCACGCCGGACTCCAGCTGGAAGCAGAAAAAAGTCATTAAATTGTGGAAAGGAAATGTAAATACAGAAAAGAGTGAACTATAAAGGGTTTCCTGCATGTTAATGTTGAATCTGCTGGGTGACGACTGATTTTTCTGGCAATAATTCTAAATGTGAAGAGTTCATTTGCAAGGTGGCTCGGTGGTTAGCACTGTTGCCTCGCAGCGAGAAGGTCGCCGGTTCGTGTCCAGATGAGGACACCCGGGATCTTTCTGAGTGGAGTCTCCATGTTCTCCCCGTGCAGCGTGGGTTCTCTCCGGGTTCTCCGGCTTCCTCCCACACAGTCCAAAAACATGTTGAGGTTAACTGGTGATTCTAAATTGTCCGTAGGTGTGAATGTGAGTGTGCTTGGTTGTCTGTCTCTAGGTGTAGCCCTGTGATAGACTGGTGACCTGTCCAGGTGAACCTGCCTTCACCCTGAGTCAGCTGGGATAGACTCCAGCCCCCCATGACCCTAGTGAGGATTAAGCGGTGTATAGATAATGGATGGATTTGCAAAAACAGATAACTCCATTTTGTAGATTTTCAGAAAACGTATTTTTTTGTTGTTTGTTTGAGATAATATCAATCAAACTGAAGCTGAGTGGATTTGACTCAGTAGAAATGACAAAAATAGAGATAACTTCAGTTTGATTGATATTGTCTCAGGTAGACGATGGAGAAGTGGGTTTTCTGAAGGTTTGTGAAGATGGAGTTGTCTGTTTTTGCAAATGAACTCTTCGTATAGACTCAAAAAAGACAAGAGATGCCAAAAAAAAAACGTAGCTGTCATGTTCTAAAATGTGTATATATGACTGGAGAGTGGCACATTACAGCCAGAGTTTACACCACGTTTGACAAATGAGCTCATTACAGTTGAGGAAGATGTTTACTGGAGTGTGCCTCTTAAAATGTTAATTCATGGCCGTTACTCTGCTCGAAATTCTGCTGAGCAAAAGCTAGTTAGTGACCATGAACATCCGCACACACTCTGTTGATATAATAGCTCAGAAGTTTACACTTTCAACACCTAATTCGGCTTCCTGGGGGGAAACCGAGTGTTAAACACAAACACACAGCGTCTCGAGGGAGCCGGCCAGAAGTATGCGGATCTCTGATTTATTTATGGGGTACACTGCTTTTGGATCACAGTGTTTAGGGATATTAATAATTTATTATGGAGGAAGTCGGCGGCGATGTTGAACACACACACACACACGCGCGGTGTTTACAGCTTATCAGCTATAAACAACCTCCTTTTAAACATTTTTTAACTTTCACTTGAATTCTACTTGAATTCTCTCAGGAGCAGGAAAACAGTGATTCATGCGGCAACTCGAGCCAAGATTTTCCAAGATCTCCTCCTCAGCTGCAGCGCACGTCCAGCTGCACCTTGCTGCTGGGAGCTGATAATAAAGATCCTGTTTGCGCTGATTTCACTCAAACAGATCCACTTGAATGCAACGCGGCGGTAATCTTGACTGCACTTGAATGCGCCAAAGAAAAGCGTCTGAATGGAACTGCACTTTACCTGGATGGATTCAATTGAGAAATGTGAATGAGGAGGTGAAAAACGGAATAAAAAGCAACCAGTCGAGGCAGAAACACTCTAAAAACAGTAAACAAACTGTTGCATTAGATTCTAGTAAAGTCTATGTAGCTGCTCTCAGCCCTGATGTCTCTGCCTCTGCTTTAACAGAGTCTTCAGGTGTTTGCCGCGGGGATGATCAGATTTTGGCCGACTGCTGATGCATGCACATACGTTTTCCACCCGGTTGCAGAGAACATCAGGTCTCTCTTGCAGTAGAATTAACATATTATTATGCCTACTCGCAGTATGATTGCCAACCTGCAGCTGCACACGTAAAGTATGATGCTTTATAAATGTAGAGATTCAAGGACAAATAAGAAAACTACTTGAAATTACATCTAAAACTAGCCGTGTTCATTTTTACTGATATATTTTATTTCAAAGCCTCCAACGGCGAATATCGATTTCATGCTGCTGTCACTAATTTACTGAATACGTTTCATTTGTGCTGCTTCTCTACATTTCAGATGAAAACGTTGTGATGTTTCATAAACTACGTGTATTGTACAGCTTTAATCATTACGTTTATTGTTTGTTTACATTTTACAACAAACTTCGAGCAGCCCTTCAGTGAAAATCTTTTTTTTTTTTTTACCTTCTTTATATGTCTTTATGGCATTTTCTTTTGTAAGTTAAAAGACGCATCACAAGCCAAATAACCATGGCTGAGCATTTCTACCTTTAGGTTTTCTACCTTTACCTTTTTACAACTGCAGTGTAGCATTGAAAGTCTCAAAAACACAGATTCAGACTTGACAGGCAGGTAGTGTTTATTTTAGTGGAAAAACTTTGATACACAGAAATGAGTTTTTACCGGAAACAGACTTTAATATCGTATTAAATCCTCCTGTGATGCATAATTCTACACTAAACTACCCGTAGAGATAAATTAGCTCCAACTACAGCAATAAAATCCTACATATGAATACATTAGCTGTTGTGATTTAGGGGTCATTTTCTGCAAAATGACTGATTTTAGTTTGGATTTTTAAAGTACTTTTCATCAATACTACTTCTGTACTTTAGTGAATTTTAAGTGCAGGACTTTTAATTGTAAACAAGCATTTTTACATGTAGGTTTGACCAGTGTTATTGTTTTTGGTCGCTTCCTTTATCAGACTTCGCAAGAAATTAAACCTATTTGCCAAAAGAAAGAACCTTTCCCTGCCTTATTTGTGCATGCTGAAAGAATACAAGTAGAAGAGGAGGAGAGGTGCAGCACGGCCAGCAGAAACAGTGACTGTGATGATTGAAGGTTTAATTTGTGGAATATTGTTATCAGTCTGGAAGCTACTTCAGCTTACATCTGCTCTTGTGCCACAATATTCCAAATACCTCTGACTTTGCCAATTCTGGTGCATCTGCAGCTTAAAGC